CAATGTAGTATTTGAATAATTTACGTTTTGCATTTACTTCCGAAGAATCGCTGGGGGGTCCGGGTCATTTTCAAAAGACCCGGACCCGGACCCGGATCCGGACCCGACCCGGACCCCCGAAATGGGGGGTCCGGGTCGGGTCCGGGTCCGGGTCGGGGTCCGGGTCTGACCCGGGGCCCGAAATGGCCATCCCTGCTCACCACTGATCTTTCTGTATCTCTCTCACTCTCGCTCTCGCTCTCTCGCTCTCACACTATCTCTTCACTGGCCTCTCTCACTTTATCTCTCTCTCTCTCCCTCCCTCCCTCTCTTCCCCCTCTCCTCTCTCTTTATTTCTCTCGCTCTCTCTCTATTTTTCTCTCTTTCTCTGTCTCTCTCTCTCTCTCTCTCTCTCTCTCTCTCTCTCTCTCTTTCTCTCTCTCCCTTTCAGATTTATCAGATTCAGCATCGGTTTTTTCACCGGCCCCCAGTTTTACCACCTCAACTTGTGGGTTTTTGATTCCTTCCGTCCAAAGAACAGACGTTTCTGGCCATAAGCCGGGGCTTTATTTTTAGGGCCAACTTCCTGTCTGCCAATCCGTCCATCTGTCTACCGGTCGTTCTCAAGCCAGCAAGTGCCTGCCCCAGGGTCATCCGGAACTCGCAGCTGATCACAGATCTGTACAGCCACCGGGAAGTGTCTGCCCGGTTTTTGAGCTGCAGCTCGAGCTCCGGGCTTGGTGTCTATTTTTAAAGAGACTAGGTGGTCTTAGGTCATGGGGAAACGGGTGTTTTTGTTGTTTCAGATTACGACATGGAAGGCCTCGGAGATACCGGCTTGGCTTATTGATTTTAAGGGGTCATTGAAGGCAAAATCCATGAATCTCATGGGGCTTGGGACATGAAAATGGTCCCACAAAATTTAGGGCATTTTAAAGGGCTTGTGAAGGCAAGGTTCATGGTACTCATTGGGTTTTAATGGGATTGTCTTGGGTGGATTTTCTATAGATTTTACCATCCGCATTTTATTGCGTAATGGATTACGTCCGTTCCATGGCGGACGAACAGTGCTAGGGGTGCCCAAGCACGCCCCCTTTAAAACAGCTCATCTCCATTTATATAGCGCCATTTAAGGGAATTATTTTTGCTCCCTTCCCCCAAAAATTTGCCAATTTCTCTAGCTCGTGCTCCCCAGTTTCCGTTTGACCTTTAGCCCCGATGCTCTCGTCATTTGGATCAAGCGGAAAGTCACGGAATTGCGGAAAAACCTTGCCGGGATATTTGCGTCAATGCAAAGAACAGCCGCTCGATTTCGAAGGAGCTGTAGATAAGGGTTATTTGAGGGGCAAAGAAAGGCGAGGGAGGAGGAGGAAGAGGAGAAGGAAGTTGTGTTCCGCTGCTTTTCCCTGATATTACAGCCGGAAAGTAGAGGTGGGAATCATGACCGGAAATCCGTCGCGGGCGAACGGCAACTGGGCGTTCTTTATGGCGTTTTCCAGCCTAAAAAACACCAGAATCTGCAAACGTAAAATTTTTCAAATTTTCCAGGATTCAAAGCTGTTTTTGCCAATAATTACCGCTTCAAAAATATTTTTTTTTGGCAAAATTCCAGTTTCGATTTTTCCTGGAAAATCAGCATCAAAATCAGCAAATCAGTTTTAAAACAAAACTAAGCGCGTTCACCGACTAGTTATAGACAGATCCCCCGATAATGCAAAAGAACCCAACAATCGAATCCATGAACTTACTGTAAACTAGAGTGCGGCTTATTCAAATCAAATCGCGACTCAAACCGGTTTGATTTGAATAAGGGCGGTTTGAATAAGAATCTGCTTTTCAAATCAAACCGGTTTGGTTTGAATAAGGATCCGTTATTCAAACCAAACCGACCAGGTTTGAGTTGGTTTGAATTGGTTTGAACAACAGGCAAATCAGCATGTTAATCGATCTGATGGATGCTAATCGGCTAAGATTTCGAGGCATCCCTTCCAAAACCTTGCATGACCATTATAATGATGAAATTGGCTTAGTTTACAGAGTTTACACACTTTTTAACCATAGGCTTGGCATTCACGACCGTTCACAATCATCCTAATGGTCGTGATAACCTTGGCAGGGCTGCCAGAAAAAATGTCTCGGAATAGTCCGCCAACCCCTAAAACCTGTCAGGAATGCTGCCGAACGACCCTAAAGTGAACCGCCCATAGATTGGTGCCAAAACGCAAAAATAGTGCAGAAAGCAGGCTGTTTTGGAGAATGGTTCTTATTCAAACCTTGTTCAAATTACTCAAACCGGTTTGGTTTGGTTTGAGTTGGGAATCCTTATTCAAACCGGGTTTGGTTCGAATAAGGATCCCGTATTCAAAACAAACCGGTTTGATTTGAATAACGGAAATCTTATTCAAACCCGGTTTGAATAAGCCGCTTTCTACTGTAAACTGTTTACTCAAGTTGTAGTTTCGATTCGAGACCAAGCGCATCTTGTTCAGAGTTTTTTGCTGATTCCGAATCCGCTTTCTAAATTTGCTGCGGACTTTTATTTTGAAAGTTATACAGCAATTAGGGTAGTAGTTAGGTACGAAAACCAATGAATCGTCATCGTTTTCGATTTTCTTGATCAACTACAACGTCAAAATTGGCAAGAAATTGGCTAGACAAGCATCTCAACGCCAAAACGAGCTTTTTTTGATAACAAGATTGGATTTTTTATGCAAAACCAGAAGATGTGACGCAGGGCGGGGTGTCGAACCGTCGCCGTGCGCTTGGCAAGCGAGCACTTTGCCAATGCACCATGGTGCCAAATGGGCAGCGTGCTGTGAGAGCATACTTCAGGGTCCCTGGCAGCCCTGGAACCAAGGAGGGAATAGTGGGTCGGAATCCGAATTTTTGGCCTTTTGAACTTAAATGAAAGTCCGCATCAAATTTGGAAAACGGATCCGGAATCAGCGAACTGGTAGATGATTTGCACAAGATGCACCTGGTCCCAAATCGAAACTTCAACTTAAATAAAACATTTTCCAGTTAGTCAACTGATAATCCAAGTTGGACGGGTTTTATCATACTTTTAGCGCACCCAATTTCTGTGTTTCTTTGCCTTTTTCGTACCGCATCAGATTATACCCTCCGTTCATTCTTTACCCTCAATTTTGATCTGCACAGCTTTCTGACTAGCCCAAAATTGCCCTGAGCTTTTTTGCACCCGGGTTTCCGTGCTACCCGGCACATTTCGTGTGTCCTGCCGGTCCCTGCTGGCTACCGTAATCCTGGCTCGTGGCTAAATCCGGAGATCGCAAAAAAGGGGGGCGGGCGGAACTGTGGTGTGGCATTGTTGCTAGGCTCCGAAAAGTACACAAGGTTGTATCCGTTGAACTCCCCCGCCGGTGCACGGTTAATTTGAAGGCTTAATTTGGTGACAATGAAGTGTGTAGTTTATGCTCGATGTGGGAAGAGAGAACAAATGGGGATTGATTGCTTGATGATTTGGCCTCAAATTAAAGATTGTTGGTTTATGTAGGATCTCAATTTCCTGCTGGTTAGACGCATTTTATCATTTTTTTTATCAATCAAAAGCTCTTAAAAAGGTTCTAACGCGTTTTCGATAAATCTGGACGGTCTAGTAAAACTATAGTAACTATTTTAATAGCGTTTTTGGTAAAATTTAATTGTATTGCAAATTGAGAAACCAGCATACGAAAACTAGAAAAAATCTTTAGCCTAAATGTTGTTCGAAAATTGGAGAAATTACGCGAAAAATCGATATTTTTGCATTTTTCATCAACATTTGTAAAGTTTTTAGGCGAAGAATATGTAAAAGCAGTTTCCGAAAATTCCTCTATTTATTCGGAAAGTGAAATCCGGGCTTAAGCATCAACGAGACAAGAGGAATAGCTAATGCAAAAAAATCCGCAGAGAGTGGAGCGAGGCAGGAGGGAGCAGAGAAGGTTTATGTTAGTTTCAGAACTAAAGCCCGCTGTGCTAATTTTGCTTTTCCTGATCCCTTTAAGTCCCTCTCACACTCCCCGGATTGAGCGCAAGGCTTGAGCGAGCCCTCAAATCTTTTTACCGTCTATTCAGCTTTCCGCCACCCCAAATGGATCCGAACGACGACGAGCACAATATAGGGCTGTCCAAGGGGGCAAAGGTCGCACTTTTTTTCGGGGGTGGAAGGGATGATGAAAGGACGGATGTGATCCCTGGTGCCACAATCCAGCTTTCAGTCCATTGTAGTCGGTTGATCGGAGTGGCTGTGTTTTGGCCTGAGAACGGTACAGAACGGTCCGGAAAAGGCGGCAGGGCTTCAAAATACTCCAATTTTTTTCGGTGACATTTTTTCGTATTTCGAAAACTACAAATTTCATAGGTACAGCAAGTTTTAATAAATTTTTGCAATAAATAATTTGCATAACGTACAAAAATCGTGGCTCCTCGTGGAAGAGAGATCAGGCGCGCCATGCCAGCGGCTAGCGGAAAACCGAATATTTCATTCAAACTCTGGTTACCAGCGCAAAATGACCGTGAAGCGTTCTTGGCGGTCGCTGGAACGGCGGCAAAGTTGTTTGAAAATGTGATAAAAGAAAAAAATGTGCATTTTCAAGAGATTTTGTAAATATATGCTCTCCATCACCTTCCTGGTCTCTCACGATCTCTCTCTCTCTCTCTCTCCTCACTCGTTCTCTATCCCTCTCTCCCTTTCACTCTCCCTCTCTCTTACTCTCTCTCTCTCTCCCTCAATCACTATCTATCCCTCTTTCCCTCTCTTTCCCCCGCTCGCTCTCTCTCCCACTCTCTCTCCCTTACTCACTCTCTATCCCTCTCTCTCTCTCTCTCTCTCTCCCTCTCTCTCCTTCTGTCTCTCTCTCTCTCTCTCTCTCTCGGTGCAGTGCGTTGCATTTCTTGCGTTTTATGAACCATAGAACGTCTTGATGTTTTATGTTCGTGAATCGAGTATACAAATGGTCGGTTGGCGTGTTTTATTACTTCTCAATGACTCCTTTCAATAGTTCGAAATTTTGCAACATCTAGTCTTCAACTTTGTACAAAAAGTTATGAATACTTTGACAGTGACGGCGGCCTTGGTAATTCTCCGGCAGTCCATAGATGTATATGGAACCCATCGCCTGGTAGTGCTGCACCACTAACACCATGCCATCGTCTCGCTCGATGCGATAGTAGGTCTGCTTGTAATTGTCGTCGTGCAGTCTCGGGAAACGTTCAAATAACTCCGCGGCCTCTTCTCCCTTAGCCACTGGCCCACCGCGTAGGGGTAGTAACCCGATCCACCAAATCTCTCGTTCCCCTTTCAGCCATTCCGCAATCATCATACGAGCTCCGACTGCAAACTGTCCGTCGAAATCGTCGGCGCCATAGAAATCCATATTCGTAATTTTCAGCAACAAGTATTGCGGGAGGGGTGCACAGATAGTTGCCCATAGCCGAAGGGTGCTTGCGTCCAAAAATCTGAGCAATTCTTCATTTGGCGGAATCTTACTCGCGGAAACTGTCTTGTATTTCCCGTTCGGCTTGTGACGTTTCAAAAAGGGTAGTAAGTTGTTGAGCCCAGCTGGCACGATTAAATTCTCACAGCGGAGATCGATTTCCGGAGGTACTGGGTAGTCGAGGTGCATACTGTCGACCGTCGATCCGTGAAAAATCAGTTGGAGTGCCGCTGGGTCATGGATGCGCCGAGCCCTCCGACCTGATTGGTCGTTCTGGAAAAAGTAGCCTCTCTTCGTCGAAATGTCATAAATCCTCCACGGCCAATATTTTCGTCTACAGCCCCGGGCGATCTTTTCCAATGTCCGGCACGTCGTGGCCAGCCGGAAAAAGCTGGTCGGGTCGAGGTTGCGGAGGATGATGTGGTGTATTTCGGGAGGTAGGTCAAAGAAATTCATTGTGGACTCGGTGCCTAAATGCTTCGACATCATGATATATATTCAAAAAGAGAAAGGAAGCGAAACAGGCTTAGGAAAAAAGATTGTATGAATTTCACAGCGCGGGGAGGATCCTACTATATATAAAAAAATAGTGTTTGTGTGTGTGTGTGCATATTTGCATGCAACTTCCGTGAGTATGTACCGCACCTACAGCCTCAGGGGAAGGTTTTTAAGGGTCTTATGATACGTCATTAGGTGCGTAAAGGTGCTGAGATGAGTGCACACACATAAAAGTTTGGAAAAATTACTGTTTTCGCTATTAAAATTGAGTTTTTGTAAAGATTGCGAGAAACCTGACAAAAGGAAGCGGCTGCCTACGCTAGACTAGTAATAAATACTAGAATAGCGCCCACGCGAAGGCTTGCCACCCGCATCCCTTGTTGGGATAAGACCTGAACCAATAGAAGACGCGCGAACGGCTAATCAGCAGTAGTGTAATGCATTTGTCTGGATAAGGGACACTCTCGTGGAATAAGAGTTTATTAATACACAAGAAAATACCGGAGAACATAGAATACATAAGTCGGGGAAGGTCTGGGATTAAGGGGAATGCGCTAGGTCTGGATAGGGTTGGAGAAACACTCTGGAATAGGAGCTCGCCGGGGTCACCGGTCTCGGGGATGCAGGACACATCACACCAACACCGAATCGCCCTACCAGTCATAGAAATGACCGGCAGCAATTCTCCCAGGAAGGGAGAAATTGCAGCGACTGGGGAAAATGCCCCTTTCCCCGGGCCGAGGGCGGCCGCCATACGGTGGACCCGCTGGGGGGCGCGCGCCGGGACCCAGGGAGAATTTGGCCGCCCGCCAAGTCCGCCTAATTAAACCCTCGTAAGTCCTGTAGAATCGTAAGATCTCTACAGAACTTTCGACACTCCCGCCCGGCCGAGGCCAAGGCGAAAGTGCGTGCGTGTCTGGGTGGTGGCTTAGGGTTTCACGCTCCTGGAGTGATCTGTGATAGACCAGGGTATTTCGCGTTCCACCGTCTGCCTACTGAGCACCGGAAACTGCGGTCTGCTTGGGGTGGAGAACTAGTGTAGTTCTGCAGTTTCCGGGTCAGTCTAGGTGGCCGCACGAGGTTATAGGACAAGACTAGGAAGGCGAGTGGGACCTCCGCCCACAGCAAAAGAAAAAAAAGACTCCTACACCCAGAGTGGTACACAGATAGTGGAGGGGCGAACTAGCGCAAACCAAAAGGGTAGTGGACCGACTGGGTATTACAAGGATCTCGGTATGGGGACGGGAGGGCCAAAAAATAAGGTTAGACTCCTAGGGGGTGGGGCTCAATGGGGACAAGAGAAAAAACGGGGGGGGGGGGGGGGGGGAAGCTGAGCGGCGCTAAGGAGCCCGTACTCCTGCCGAACAACTGGGGACTCACATTTATGGCTTTGGCTGCTTGACTGTTGGTGAACTTGTTGAGCTTGACTTGGCCGGCGGAAGGCGCGGAGCGAAGTGGAGCAGCAACAGACTTGACAGCGGCGGCCAACGGCAGTGATGAACCGATCTGCTTAGTGTGAAGGCAGGGACTGCTTAGGGCTAAGAATTAAGAAACGCTTTTGAGCCCACAAAAGCATTCCTATTCTGAGCTGATCGTGTAATCGCTATCCAGAGGAAAGAAAACGAAATATTCCTCTGGAAATCACGAAGACACTCTAATAAATTTAGACTGGCCTGGTTGCGGGGGACTAGGTGGAGAAAAAATCTACCACGAAGCCCTCCTAGTTATCTGCTTGGTATATCTACAGAATCTGGACGGCCTGAAGAGGACCTGTGATAGACGGAGACCGTCTTTTGCTAAGTCTGGGCCGTGAGGCTGGAACTGCTCCGCCAAGTTCGAGAATTCATAGGCTCGAAAGCTAGAACTCCAAACTCGGCATCGCAATCTTGCTGACGATCTGGTCTATCTTCGTAATGAACTCACACTGCACAGTTGGGGCATAAAGCGCGCACAACTGAGCAGACTGTGTGCCATCCATTTCTGGGATAAGAAGGAAAAATCTGCTTTGTCCAAGTGGACGTCTTGAAGTCGATCTGGAATCAATGGTAAATGCTCTGCAAGCTAGCCGAACTCTTGGATCATACTCCGATCGGAGCAAAGGCCCAAAGTTCCGGTTCGCCCTGGCGCGCATTTGAACCGAGAGATCCTGTCTTCTTCTCGACAATCGTATCCACTATGCCAGAAGATCTGGTAAAGTAGAACTGCCTATATAGGCACCCTGAGGCTATGTCAGCGACAGAGACGAAAATTAGCCGAAGCTACTGCTTTTCAGAAAAGATAACGTCTGAACTATGAGCAGATGCCCGCGAAAGAAAAGAACAATCTGCTAGTCGAATGAATTGACGGGTCCCAGCGCCAAAGAAAATTTCTGAGGCCGGGTGTCTATCCATTCGACGATCGAGCAACAAATTGCCCGAGTTCTGATATGCGGCTTCCCCGAACAAAGTTCGAGTCAGCTTATGAATATTCACTTCTTGTTCCAGATGACGTCTATGTAAGAGCGTCTCTTTGGAACTGAAGAGAAGGCCTGCGTGTAAGATTATACTCACAAAGTCTGACCGCCAAGATCGGAATCTCTTTGGGCAAACTAGGGAGTTGCCTGAGTAAAACACTGCAGGGCTTTCTGCTTTGGGAGGGAATACAACCACCAATCTTACTGGAAGGCAAGCTTGCAGCACCACTGGGGTTCTCAAGGAAGGTGAAGTCAAGTCGTACACACCTTACGATGGGCGACTTGACAAAAATAAGCTCAACCCGAGGGCGTTGCTCATTTCCTGCTCTGGTGGAAAGGGAAACTGGAATTCGGCCTGAACCGAGCGAAAGAAGGGAAGGAGTCTGCTTTCTCAACTCGGTGCCACAAGTTAGCAACCGAGAATCAGGTCTGAATATCGCTGACGTTTCTTCTGGATGGCCCTTATGCCGCTCTTCTTCTGCCTAGTCACATCCTATCATGGCTGTTGTTGACCATGAAGTGGCTTCCGAGGCGGCTGCGTGGTCGTTGACATAGTCAATCGTTAGTAAGAAGGTCTGCGTTGGTTGTTGCTCCTTCTCTCTGAGTTCGGTTCTAGCCCGAAAAAATTCCAGTTCTGAGCTCGATGGGTTGAAAGACCAACGAGAAATTTGCACCAGTAGGATCCCATCTTCCAGGGCAGCGCAAAATATTTATGCGCCGTTCCTGGATCCGAAAATCTAACAAGGCAAATCTTGTCTGCTCGGAAAAATAAAAATAAAAAAGGACTGAATTCGGACCGAGTTCCGATTGGAAACTAACTCCACCGGGCAACACACTAGTGCATGCTTCCGGTAGAGAAGCTCATCCTGGAACTCAATCGTCGTTGAAAAAACTTGGGGAATCTGCACTGGATTGGGATCAACTGGGCCTGACCTAAGCAAAGAGTTGGCTTGGCTTTGCTCTAAAGCTGGCTTCGCCAAGATTGCTCTGAACAGTCCGCAATCGATAATTTCTGGATTGAGGAAGCCCCTTGCTTAAACTCTAGTCGCAAATACTGAGCAGTGCAAGGATATTCGGACGTATGCCCGCTACACTGTGTCCCGCACATCGACCACTAATGGCGTGCCATCCCAATGTCAACCATACAAGAGTGCACAGATGACAATAGGTGGCCGCCATATTGTGACTAGGTCACGTCGATGTGGGTATCACAAGTGATATCCATAAGCTACCGTTCTTTGCAACAAGAAATAATGCAAAGAACTCGATTCCCGCAAGGGAAAATCTGCTTAATCTCATACGAGATTTCCCGAAGGATGTCTGCTTGAGTTCCAAATGGAATTCGAAAGTCTGCTTACACAAAGACATCCTGTGAGGGAATGACTCTGCTCTTATGGTAAACACCAAAGTGATCTGCTCTCGGTCTTCTTGAAGACTGACAATTGATCGCTCAATGCCAGGCTTGGTCTGCTTACTCTGAAGGAAGTTCGAGAAGACAAACTTGCTTCGCAATGAACGTACGAGGACGGCGGCGGTGCGCTCACGTCAACCCGAGAGCGCCCAAAGCTAACAAAATTTACTTATCTCACTTCGCTTCAGATGCTTCATCGACTTGGTAGGCTTGACTGGTGCGCTTCGAGACCATGGAGCATCAGTCTTCATCGTCAGTCATCGTCTTGCATCGGGTTGTCGTCCGTGCGTGAAGCCTTGACCCGCGTGAAGCATGGAAGACAACAGCCTGATCTGGGGGAAAGCAAAGGCCTGGATGGTGCAAGCACCAAAGAAGTTCTGGGCTGAGCAGGAACTCAAAAAAAATCTGGATTGAGTAAGAACTCAAAACCTAAAAAAGATCTGCGTTGTGCTAGAGACTAGCAGCAAAGGAATCTGCTTGTGCTAGAAGACTAGCGGCAAAAGAAAAGAAAGATCTATGCGCAGTAAGAGTGGATCGTTTTGTATTCGCGCAGATACACTGAGCATGTGCCCAATATAT